TAAACATTGATCATATTTCACTGGGGAAACAATCGATTGCAAATAAATACGCTCCTATAAATACCCAAAATATAGGATTTATTGGAGAGAATATCGAGATAAATACTCTCTATATATTAAACTAATGTACTTATTTATTCTTCATTGAACATGTTCAGTTCAACAAAAATCGAAAAATTCAGCGGTTATTTTATAATCGCTCACAAATGTCAATTAATATCCTATCATGATTATTAAACAAATGTTCTGCCGAATACAACACTCAACAGCAATTTTCTGAGGATTCTGCCTTTTCATGTTGATATGTATAGAACTAAACCCGAGACTGTGTCGTTGAGTGAGCTTCGAGAAGACTATATATCTATTAACATTTTTAAGAGTTTAATTTCAAACGTCCAGCAAGGTTTTATTAACAACTTGGTCCCTTACAATAACCGTTATGACGTGTTTTATGAAAAATACATGCCAATAAAAACTTTGTTTCATGGTATATTCCTTCGTGTTGCATTATTCACACTCCTTGTATTGTTTTGAACTCGAACAGCACATTTGCCTTCCCTACCCCCGATAAGTCCTAATTGTTATCTCCCAAAATCTGGGAGACACGTGACCAAGCCTTGATATAAAATATTTTTCTTCCTGGCAGCATGCTTCCCAGATCAAAAATTTCCTGCCAATTTTTTTTATAAATATGAATTTTGGTTGTAATTCAATAACAGCATCGTATATACTACTATAGTGATATACTAAGTGATATACTACCTCAATATTAAGAAAAATATAGGTTTACTAGAATTAGGAACGTGAAGGAATTCTATGAAACAATATTTGAAAATCTGAATTTATATCAATATTCATGTGTTACGAAAGTATATAAATAGTATAAAAACAGTTCAGTTTGCACCCCAGGTAATTATAGATACTAGTTATGTCAAATGGAGAGATAATGAGCATTTTTGCCGTAAAACTCAGATAAAGTAAAATATCATTTCGGACTTGTGTAAGAGTGTCAATTATCTGTCCATTAGGCAAGACAAATAATTTGTCAAACTGCATGTCAAAGTTGGACGATAGCCTTGCATGGTGGGCTGTTGTGTTTACATAATTCAAAGTCCAAGGCTGGTTTTTCTCTGACATGAAAATGTGCATGCTTAGGGCGTTTCTGTCAATAATTCTTCGGTATATTTCGCGCGGTTGAGTAACTATAACATTACGTCATCAAAATCTTGGTTCAATAAATTTGTAAGTGAATTTAGTTTAGTAGGTAAAGTAAGGTTCACATAGGTATAGGTTGAAGATTTTACTATGATATTTTGATAAGTATTTTAAGTCGTGAACATATTTTAACATTGATCGATTGAACAGCGAATCGACCAGTGCGACAACGCCTTAAATAAACAGATTGTGAGAGCTGGAACGAGCTAGCAACGCCATCCCACACTTTTATAACTCAGCGTTGATTGGCTGGATACAAATCACACCACTTGCTAGATCACATGTAGAAAGATCCCCTCAACCGTTAGTATAAAAGGGCGTGCACAACCCAAATTCGTCAGTGGACTCTCGAGTTGACTCAACGAAGTAAAAATTATGTATGAAAAGTTGTAGAAAGCTCAAAACGAAACAAGACGAACAACGAATACGTAGTAAAGACGAACTAAAAACAACGAAGAAAGGCTGCAGAAAGAAGAGAACTTTGAAGCAGAACTATTCCAATATTAACATTAGTGACAATAATTAGAAAAGTCGTAACGATTCACTGCCTAAATAAAGCCTCGTAACACATGCACTATTCAATAATAGTTGTACGCCCTTGTTTTTCACATGTATCATAATCATGAATCATAATAACAGACAGTCGTAGCACTGCCACATGATACAATTTTTTATGTTATGATTGTTGTATTTATGCTCTTATTGTGATGTTTGTTACTTTAATGCTGATTTTTGAAATTTCTCGAGCTTCATTCTTGATATCTTGCTTTTCCTTAAAAATTTCCTGTGAGATTAAATAAAATTTCCTGGCAGCATGCTGCCATGCTGGCGGACTTTCTCATGCCTTGCACGTGACCAGCCTGGACCAGGGTCTTTCCTCCAGCGAGGTGCGTAGTGGAAAGAGCCTGGGTACGAGGTTGATTATTAAGGTGGCTCAATACACTTTAAAAATAGATACGCACGCATACATGCATCTGCAAAAAAACGTGATTCACATTTTGTATTTTCTTGAAACTGAATAATGAAGATGACATGGGACAATTTAAATATTTTATCACTTATTATAATATAATAGCAAATAAGATTTAAAGTCAAACATATAAATACACATCCAACCGGGCTGTACACAGTGTATAGGGCAGCAGGGGCAATTCCCTCCCCCTCCTCCCCGGTCGAGAAAATTTAACTAATTTTATGTGATTGTGATTGTAACGGATAATTATGCAGTCAGGAAATAAAAAATTCAGATCAAGCAAACAATAATCGAAGTGTCTATTCAGCCGGCTAGTTAGTAAACTGTCACTTGACAATCAATCCCCATACTCATCGAATTTTCAAAACTTTATTGTAATCATATTTAATTAAAATTATGTCACTTGTTGTTTACACTTAGCAATGTTAACTATTGAGTAACATTACACAAACTATTCAAGGAACATGCATTACTGTAGCAATGAGTCCACTGAATAGTGGTTTTGAAGAACATGAGTAAGTATACAATTCAATTATAATCCTGTGCACAGTTAATGATATACCACACCGTTGAAGACCGTTCAGTTTAACACAGCATATCCACACAAAAACAATTTATGTTGTGGGAAAATATCGGTTTGAGTAGAAGGTATCACAAGTTTAGTTTTGTACACGTCATTGTGTGCCATTGATCTTATCCTTCCATGTAATATATGTTATACAAGTGGCCGTTGTTCATTTGTTCTGACACAATTATCCAGCCATTACGAGCAATATGCAGTACATTAATTCATTGTTCTTGTATCAATCTCTATTAAACAAAACTATTTATGTCAGAAAGCAAAATGACAATGTATAAATGAAGAGGCTGGAGATTCTTTTATTAGCATTTGAAAATGTTTGTTAAACATTTTGTTTATTAACTCGAATGTGTAAAACCAAAATGTACCAGTATTTTTAAATGATATAACATCTTAACCTTTGCTCTAACACTACATTTGATGACAGCTTGTTTATTGGCAAATATATTGCCTGCCCAATGCATGCCTGCTATGATTTGACTGTTCAAAATATTACACTGACAACACACTACTTACCAGATGAGGATAAGTTTCCATGCTAGTAGATAACTTCGGAATAATATCGCAAGTAGAATGGCACTTGAAAACAAGAGTACAAGACAAAATCAATATATTTCCGAAGCCAAAATATGAAAATGGTAAAGAATAATAACACAATTACGCCCGTTCGCAGGTTAGTTGCGGGCACGATGTAAACAATTGATGTAAACTAATCGCTGATTGGCTGAAATTTGCTTAAATTATATAAGCTCGTCGCTGAATGGCTATGTGCTAACATACGGTAACACGGTCACGGCACGTTTGCGATAGCATATATATCTGCTTCGCAGATACAAAAATTGTAAAACCTTCAGATTGAACTATACTTTATAGTAACACTCTTTTAATTTTAATATAGTGTTCTCATGCTACATAAATCTTTATAAATAAATAAACAGATCCCTACGAATAAAATTCGGTACTAACCAAGTATAACAACACTATATAGCACACACTACATATTGTCTATTAATGAATTTTCTTCAATTTCTTAATTGTTAGCCCCCATCTTGGATTATTTTTGTACGACATTGTATATCTAAGCTCGTCGCTAATTGGTAAACAGTTACATCATTGTAAATTTGTAAGCTCGTTGCTGATTGGTCCCACCCACTTACTCGCACGATGGCATAGTATCTGCTCCGCAGATACAAAAATTCAGGTGTTCAACACTTTGACATGTTCAAACTACGCATTTTTAGGATTCATCCAGCAGATATTGGGCTTTTTACATATTTTGATCTCTCTAGCTACTTTCAACTTATATTAGTTTTACTAACAGATAGTTCGTTGCTATGGCGACATACCTTTACGAAATTCACTCAAAAATGGCCTATCACCTTGTATAATTGGAAAGAAAGCATGATGACCCACATTTTGTTGTGCATTATTTTACTTGGAAGAAAAGCTAACAATTAGCAAAATATTAAAAAATTCTGTAATGCCATTTTTTTGGAAAATGCGAAAATGTCGTACTCTTTGGTAAAATTTTTTTGGCATTACAGAATTTTTTTCTTTTTTGTATAATGAAAGTTTTTAGTGGTCCAATACAGTATGCAAAATTTGAACATAGGAGTCACCAGACAAAATAGAGAGATATAGCGCATTGTTTTTCTATAATGGAAAATTCTAATGACGTCAGCAATTGACATAAAACGTTATAGAACACGCGCAATGATGTGAGATGGCGCAAGCAACTGCTCACATCATGATCAGGTCATTTTGAAAGTTCTTTCATTTTGTATTCAGTTTCCGCGACCTACGCGTAAAAATGGTCACCCGGTTTTGTTCGCAATTCTTTAACAGGGTTTTTGTGATAACTGTATCGAGCCACCTTAAGCAGATATTTAAATAATTTGCTTGTATCCGCGTGCGTGTATTTATCAGCGGTCTAGGCACAAACGAAGGAGGAGTCCAACCATCTCGGAGTGGTCCGACTATCTTCGAACTTAGTAGCCTTATTCAATCAGACAAATTTACTACGCTTCATTATGTTTTATATATTTTTTTGTGAAGGCAACCAATCTTCAAATAGAGCTGATTCAAATAATTTATAGTCTGTACACAACGATTTTGCGTTACCGAGCGAAAATTTCTTCACGACCGTAAACCGCCACGGAATGTTGAAACATAACCGAAAACCGCCCTCTCAAACTACAAAATACCCTTTTATCAGTTGCCGGGTCCCTTGAAATGGTTGAATGTGAATATATTTCCAGATGGGTGGTTGGGTTTCGGTTTTATGATAATAGTGGTTGTGATAATTATTTTATAAGCTCAATAGCTGATCTTTTCAACTTTTGGAGCAAACTTATTCAAAATAAATAAAGTTCTAATCGATACTGATGTTACGGTGATAATGATTGAACTGATGGTATTCAAAGTATCTACTTATTTGTATTTAGGTTCACACCAGAGTCCATCCGTTGGTACTTAACGCATAATAAAATCGGGAAAGCTGAGGAAAGCTTGCGACAAATAGCTAAAGCGAATAAGAAGGACTATCTTGAAGGAAGTTTAAAGATACCAACCGTGCCAAAGAAAAACTTAAGTTGTTTAGCTTTGTTCTCGAGTTGGTCTGTGACAATTAATGTTCTTATTCAAGGTTTTGTATGGTAAGGACAAAAGGACGAAACCCAGGCCCCCCGACCCCCGGGATAGGGCGGGGAAATTAACATTTTGACAATGTTAAATTTTGGAAATTTCCCCGCTACCGGAAGAATATTGACTGTTAAAGTTACTGCCTCTATTGCCCCGGCACTTTGCGAATTTTCATGTCTTGGGAAATGGGAAATCGTTGAAGAATAAAATGTTCACAACATGTGAAGGCAATCAGTCTTGATCTTAAACTTTGATCCGCATCAAAAGATACTGAATAATCTACGTTTCGAGTATCTTGCAGTCATCATCAGGAATATATAAAAAGTGAAAATATATTCCCTTTTTTTAAGAAAAACCATGAGGAAACAATTCTCTGATTTCGAAGATTCCGCCATGTTCGGCACGAGGATAAAATCGTTCCAGTCCACTTTCATATCAGCCGCGCGTTAAAGTCCCGGCTATTGTCCCGGCTAATAAATTGATTTGTTATTTACCCTGTACCCCGGAGGGAAGTGGTGCATTAAGACCGCGTTAATCCACGGCCATTCCCCCGTTAATTCCCCACCTTGTCCCGGGGTCGGGGGGCCGGGGTTTCAATTGACTAGTGCATAATAGTCTAAAACAAAACGTTTTCATGTTTTCTTGTCTGCTTTGAATTACGTAGATTCGGATGCAGACAAGAGATGATGAAAGCGGCCTACGGATAGCTATAGGTGTTGACTGAATAATTCAGTTTTAACCACATATATAATTATTCTAAGAATTGTTAAATAGTTTTATAATATAGCATTTGCAAATTCTGAACGCTGATTGGCTAAGAGCAGTGTTGATATAACTCAATAGAGACCTTACGATTTTAGGACGGCAACCGCGACGGCAACGGCTACCAATACAATAGATCATTGAGACGAATTGAGTAACTACAATAAATGAATAATTTAGACATTGTCCTCGCTCTGTTTACAACGCCAAATCACAGATTTTCACGTGTTGATACAACGGCTGCATTCCAAGCCACAACAAGTGCAACTTCAAACGGTGTTTAGCACAACTCTTCCCAACCATAAAATCCATGTTTTCAACTTCTAAGACTGTATTAAATTCATACGATTGATAATATACGACAAACTATCGACTACCATCTATTTGAAGGTCTCCAAAACTGTTTAGACTCCCTCAATGAATGGAGCAAAAAATGGGTAATGAATATTAATTTGAAAAAAACTAAAGTTATGACTCTACAAAAACATAACTCTAAACTACAATCACTCGACTTTTTCTTGGGAGATAAACGTATTGATATTACAAACGAATACACTTATCTCGGTCTAAAACTAACTCCTAACACTAAATTTTCAGTTGCGACTCAACAACTGAGTGAAAAGGCTATGCATGCCTTATTTAAAATACGAAAAAATCTTGATTTTCAGAAACTTACACCAAAACTTGCCATAAAAATCTTTGATGGCATAGTCTCTCCAATCTTGCTTTATAATTCTGAGGTTTGGGGAGCCTATGGTAACAACGATTTTACTAAATGGGACAAAACTAGTACTGAGAAAACACATCTGACATTTTGCAAACTCTATTTAGGTGTGAACAGAAAAGCGAGCAATATCGCTAGTAGGGGTGAATTAGGTAAATTCCCTCTATTAATACCCATATTCAAAAGATTATTTTCTTACATTAACCACCTTAGTCAATTACCAGATACAAGTATAGCGAAACAAACTTTTTACCTATCAAAAAGACTTTACTCAAACGGTAAAGATTCATTCTATTTTAATGCTGCAAGCATTATTAAAAAGTTTCATCCCAATATCGAAGATACAATAGATATTGAAAAATTTGTCCAGGATACAAACATAAACGATTTTGTAAAAACCATTAAAGATAACTACACATCATTTTGGAAACATCAAATTAAAAACTCTAGTAAATTGTCATTTTATTCTACATTTAAAAAACACTGTAACTTAGAAGAATATCTAAATATCATTAAAGACCCTAACCAAAGAAGACTGTTCTCAAAATTTCGTATAAGTAATCATAGATTAGAAATCGAGTTCGGTCGTTATAGCGATGTACCTCGACAGGAGAGACTGTGTAAATACTGCGATAAACTTGCAGTTGAAGACGAATTTCATTTCTCATTTGAATGTGAAAAATACCAGAATTTGCGAAATAACTCGCGCAACATCCTAAACAACTATTTCCAAATGAGCATCACTGATGAATTAAAGAGAAAATTATTAAGTGATCTTATGTCATTGAATGACCCTGTGATAACAGGTCTATTTTCGGAACATATTTCGAAATGTTTTTATATCAGAGACAACAGCCCTTAAACCAGAAGTCACAAGTGTCTATATATTATCTAACTTTCCTTTCCCTTTTTCTATATTCACTCTTTCTAATCCTTTCTTAAATTTTGATATTTGTTCTGTCATATATCCTTCCTATTTGGTATATTATACATGTAAATAGCAGTATATTGTTTTCCGTTAGTTAAAGTAGTTTTTATACCAGTTAACTCTTATATATTTTCCATTACGCCTAGCAATACCTGTAATTAGGTCATGCAAATAAAGCTTATTAATAATAATACGAAGGAGTTTGTTTTGGCCGTCGCCGTCGCGGTTGCCGTTCTAAAATCGTAAGTCAACACGGAAACGTCGGAAAATTTATTTTTGGCTTTATATATTTCTTTGTGCTATATTATAAAACAAATATAAAACATTTTTTCCGTATTGATATATAGTTATATCTGAACACTCGTGGAAATTGAGAAAACTCGAAATTGTGTGAAAACACTCCGCCCTTCAGGCGTCGTGTTTCCACACAATTTCTCGTTTTCCCAATTTCCACTCGTGTTGATATAACTGTATATCAACACTGAAAATGCCGGTTTTATATTTGTTAAATAAGTCACGGTTCATTAGGTACTAGCTGAACTATAGTAGACATAATTAACTGAAGATTATTCTTTCTCAAGAGAGTATCCTACCTTATATTGTTTTGTAATTAATCGACAGTACGTGCAGCAAATGGATATTTCTTTTTCACTGTCCCATGGAAACTTACATATTTCATATTGAGTATCCATGCACAGTATTTGACTACAAGGACTTAATAGTAATTTAATATAATTAGTTCTCTTCATTTGGTATCTCAAGGTTCGTTATTGGAATGGGATACTTTGGAGCGTCATATGGTGCAAGCGATCTTGGTGGCAGCATGTACCTCAATTTTGTCGTCATCAGTCTCGTTGAGTTTCCCGCAAATGCTCTGGCTATTGATAACCTAGAAAGGTACAACTTATACTCGCTTAAGTATCTGGATGTATACACCCGCTTCAAAATTCCCTACATATGTAGCTATTACAGCAGTTTCAAGGGATAAGCACACACCTTATACAAAAAGGTCGAGAGCAATTATAGTTAATTTTGACATTTAGGCACGGTAACTAATTAATTCAACAAAAGAAACGCCATAAACGGAACAAAGCTCGGCTATTTATAGAATAATAAGTCGTTAAAAATATGTACTTATTTCTCAATTTAAGCACAATTTTCTATCAACTATTTAGGGGCGGATCATTCGATTTTGAGGGGAGGGGGCGGGGGTGTTGGAAGATTTTGAAAAAAAAATTTGCAGACTGAGATACAAAGTCATACCTTTCCCATACCGAGAAAGTTCGAAAAAATAATATCGTAGTATCGTACAGGGTCTGTGTGGTTAAGAAAAAATCTTGCAAGTTTATTATTTTGTTAACTGAACTGTATACATGCAAGCCCACAATACCAATTCAATCGCTCATCCTTTGGTAATAACAGAATATTAAAGAAAATATTTTCTATTTTAAAAGAATGTAACTCTACTTCAGTGACGTAGCTAGAGGAGGACACCCATGGCAAAATTATTGCTCCTCGCTGGGAAAATTCATGGTTAAAACACCAACCGAGGGCTTTTTCCTTGGTTAAAACACGCGCGCTAACTTTCTTTACTCAAATTTTTCTGTGTTTGGAAATGTCAAATCTCGCGTCCTGTTGGCTCCATTTGTAGTCTCTTGAGTCTTGATCGAAGGTGTTCCGCAACGATTAACGTGCATTCAACAACTAAGGAGAATTTGGTAAATTAACCTACCATTATTCGGGGCATTCCTCTTTGATTATCAAAATAACAACAAGCAAGTTGGTCGTGCAGGGTTTTACTTTATTGGCAAACCACGTCACAAGGCAAACTTAGTAAGTAGGTTAATGTGTCGCTGAGTGGTTGATTGTGAATATTTTACTCCTTATATACACCGTTGTTATACCTTTTGTTCAATTTAACGTTTGTCGTATTTGCAGTTTTACAATTAAACAAAACTTATTGGGGGAGCCTGTACGTAGAGTACTTTTGTTTCATTCTTTTCAGTTTTCATCTTGTTTGAGGTGCCCCCATCCCTGATCCCCCCCCTGGTGGGAAATCTGGCTACGCCACTGCTCTACTTAATATATAAACAACTTCAGCTATCAGCTTTATGCTCTGACGTTTTTTTCAAACCACCATTATGCTTGAAAGATCCGTGGCAATGGTTCGTGGTTGATAGTATCATGGCCTGCAAGAGAAGAACTACCCGGGAACAGCTCCCTCACACGTCTGGGAAAGGGATTCCTTCCCATTGGTTTTTTTATCTAAAAAAGTTGTATACATGATATTAGGAGCTGCTCCGAGTGACAAACCATACAAGTAGAGAAAACTCTACTTGGCTGGGATCCGAACCCACGTCCTTCGGTTTCCGAGGCCAATGCTGAGCTAGAGGTCAAGTTGGGAGCATAGTTCAGTAATTTTAGCTCATTTTAGGCCAAGGTTGGAAAACAAATAGTAAAAAGCTAAAAATTGCAGAGTTGTTAACGAGTCCTATGTTGCAAGTCCAAGTCAAGTCACAAGTCATTTGGTCTGAGTTCAAGTCAAGTCAAAAGTCATTTTGTCTAAATCCAAGTCAAGTCAAGTTAGAAGTCATTCCGAGTGGCAAGTCAATTCAAGTCAAGTCACAAGTCATCAGTATCGCCACATGTGGCCGTGTTTTCCCACGCAAAACGGCAAAATATGCAAATATGGCGTCGTTATTTTATGTCAGAAATTTTACCACGAAATCGCGAAAAAAACGCTTTGTCAGAAAATACGCCGGCACAAATTCTGTCGATGCCAGTGATATGTACTAAGGTCGTTGCCCAAATTTTACAACACGACAATCGTCGATCGATCGATCAACACAAAGATTTTGGAAAACTTGATTTTCACTAGATATTTACGTTTGACTTGCGTTGGTAACAAGTCATTTCTTGCAAGTCCAAGTCAAGTCACAACTCACAAGTCATTTTGTCCAAGTCAGGTCACAAGTCATCAATCTCTTTAACAAGTCAAGTCACAAGTCACAAAAATTGCGACTCGAGTCCGACTCTATAACAAACATACTTGCAGGTTCGGTGAGTCCGGGATTGGACGCACCGAGGCCGAGTTCCAGCCACCCGAGGTGCGTCCAATCCCGGATTCACCGAACCTGCAAGTATGTTTGGTTTTTATCACATGCCATTTCGGTAAAATACTAAAAAATACTGAAGAATTTTATACGCATTTTACTTTTTAATATATACTTTCGTGTTTGGATAACGAACATTTTAGCCACCAATATACTACGCAAACAAACAAACTTAGGCTTAAATTAAAGCTAAAAAAAATTCTCTATAATACTTCCTTATTCTTGAAAAGAGAAAGTGAACACATTCTGCGAAAACAATGCCAAGATTTATATAAACCTGCTCGTGCCGAACAAATTTCGGCGGCCATCTTTCTTTTTTTCCACTTTGAATACAGAATATTTCATTTTCATCACACAAAATAAAAAAAATAATAATTATAAAACAATTAAAAACAGTTAATTTATTGTTTCATTTAAATCTTCATCTGAAATTTGTTTAAATTGCTTCATAATGGCCGCCGCCAAAACATCGATCTCGAACCCACCCCCTAAACTTACGTCAGCAGGTGGGTTCGAGATTGAACGCACCTCCTCGTATATGAGATAAGAGTCCAAGTCACATGACTCGAGTCTACAGCTCTGAAAAATTGTTAGATGCATTCATTTAACTATCCTGAACAATATACTAAAAGTCCCCATGTATCCTCGTGGAGCTTTTTCTATTATGACAAGGTCTTTTTCGCAGTTCCCTACTACTCCCATATTGTTAAAAAACGTGAAATTTCAAGTTGACTCGTAATAAAAATTACTCGCATCACTAGAAAGCTCATAAAAACTACATTTTAGACATTTAAACAGTCACCTAAATTTTTCAAGCGGTTTTCGATTTATTGCTGTTCCAAATGTGAAAAATAGGCCAAAATCTGGCAAAAATCCTGGGTACTAGTCTGACAACACGTTTCCAACAGCTCAAAACTCAAGAAGAACTTGCAAAATCAAGGTAGCCGTTTAAATGTCTTATATGTAGTTTTTTGTAAGTTTTCTAATGATGTAACTTATCGTTCCTATAAATGAATCTCAAATTTCACTTTTTTAATAATATATAGGAGTTCAATAGGGAAATCGAACAAAAAACTTGTCATAATAGAGAAAGCTCCAAGAGGATACATGAGGACTTTTAGTATGTTATCAAGGTTGCTGAAGAGAGTGCATACGCCAATTTTTGGCTTTTTACTAATTTTTTCTGACCTATTTTCTATTTTGATTGTACTAGCATGTCGTTAAAAGATGGTACTTCAAGGGTTTCTGATATTTTGAAACTGAATTATCTTGAGATTGAATCTCAGTCGGGCCAAGTAGAGTTTTCTCTACTTTAATGATTCGTATGGTATCGTACCTCCTAATATCATATTATTACTGTCCACCCGCATTAACATTCCCACAACAGTTGAGGTTGTATACAGTGTGACATTGTCTTGATCATTGGGGAAATCGAGAAAAATTTAAATATGAGAAAAAAATATTGCAGTGCTTGAGTCAAGATGAGAAAAAAATGCATGCACAGCTATTTCACAAGAAAATGCTACTAAAAAAACAATTTCCTTCCGAGAGCAATTTTTCCACTCTCAAAATTCTAATGGTCTGCCCCTTACCAATTATTTGACGGATCGAATGATTCATTCTATAAATCGCCCACACAACGTGCAGGTCTGTTGACGTTTCTGATATTGAATTAGTGACCGCGGCTAAATGTCAAAAACAAACAGTAGCGTAGCCAGCCCGACTATTTGGTCCCGCTATGCAAATATTTCCATATTCATTGACTGTGAAAACAATCAATTTCTAAAGAAATGAATAATGATAATAATTTTGAATTTGCATAGCGGGACTAAATTGTCGGGCTGGCTACGCCACTGAAAACAAATATTACTAGCTCTCAGCCTTTTGCGTGAACTGGTCGCGTATCACGTGAAACAGCTGTAACACTGTTTATTACCTCACTTGTCTATACCAAACCTACGACATGAGGAAAACAGGTTCCAAATTCCTTAATTTGTATGTATTCCAAAAACAGAATTATAGGATTTTCTGCCATTGATTCGGGTGTTAACTCACGCGTTTTTCAGTCACCACGCATGGCGTCTCGCTGCTATACTAGTGGGATATTTATCATTTATAGACCCGGAGCGAGGGGGATTCGGCGTAATATTTCCCGAAGTGATGTTATTAGGGAAATATCGTGGGAAATATCGTCGAATCCTCCGAGCGGAGTGTCTATAAATGATATATTATACCGAAAGTTAAAGAACTCACTAAGTTCAGAATAAACTTAAAACTTGCTGAATATTAACTACGCGAATACAATTTTAAATTTCTTATGCATACCTGAGTTTTTGACGTTTCCTCTTTAAAATATTTGAGCATGTATCCTTTGGATCATTAAAGGTAACATACGTCTTGAAAATCTTTGGTTAAATCAAATCTTCTGGACGAAATTACTGATAACAGCTCACGAACGCCATATTGTTTCAGAGCGTGGTGTCCACGCGTCACGCGTGAGCGTGGGATACTATAATATCCCACGGTGGATCTGCCGTGGGATATTATAGTGTCTCACGCTGCATTGCGAAGTCATGAATTTGAGTGAAATACCGTAAAAATCACATTATCACGCGGTACAAATGCTGTTTTTTCATTGGACAATTTGAATTTGAGATATAATATTACTCAACATTCCCACGTATATTATATTTATCATTTATAGACCCGGAGCGAGGGGGATTCGGCGTAATATTTCCCGAAGTGATGATATTTTCCGAGGGGCTTTGCCCCGAGGAAAATATCATGACTGAGGGAAATATCGTCGAATCCCCCGAGCGGAGGGTCTATAAATGATATATTATACCGAAAGTTAAAGAACTCACTAAGAGTCTATTAAGTTCAGAATAAACTTTAAAACTTGCTGAATACTATTAAATAACTACGCGAATACAATTTTTAATTTCTTATCTATACCTGAGTTTTTGACGTTTCCTCTTTATTATATTTGAGCAAGTATCCTTTGGATCGTTGAATGTAACATACGTGTTGAAATCTTTGGTTTACTTAATAAATCTTCTGTAGTTATGTAAGAAAATTAATACAAAAAACAGCTCGCGAACGCCATATTGTTTTAGAGCGTGGTGCCCACGCGTCGCGCGTGAGCGTGGGATACTATAATATCCCACTAGTATCCCACGCTGGATTGCGAAATCATGAATTTGAGTGAAATACCGTAAAAATCACACTATCACGTGGTACAAATGCTGTTTTTTCATTGGACAATTTGAATTTGAGGTATAATATTAGGTAATGTCTTTACCGGACTCATTAGGATACTGTTTATAGAGAGAATGGATAGCTACCGTGCAAATAAGTTTGATTATAGTTTAGTAATTTAATAAAAACTTAGTTAAACGTAGAATATTTTGCATATTCTAAGCGAACTAATTCAGATCCTAATCATGGTTTGCTTAGGTATGGACGGAAAAAATCAACTATTGTGACCATGATCATAGGTGGAATTTGCTGCTTCATAGTTTCATTGATTCCTTCTGGTACCGATAGGACAGGTATTGAATCTGATCATCCATGCTTATCATACCAGACATAGTTTTATTATATATATACAGGGTGTATAAAAAAAGAATACAATTTTGAAACGGCTCTCGATTTCACAAAGCCGCTCATTTCATGAAATTTTTGGTAAATACATATTTAGTTCTTTGTATGTTTGCATGGTGTTAAAACAGATAATAGTTTTGTTTGTGGAAACACCACGTAAATTTATTACTGCAAAGCTTTCGATCCGTAAGCCCGGATCTTCATCAGTGCTAATCTTAATAAACATATTATTAGCACTGATGAACATCCGGGCTTACGGATCGAAAGCTTTGCAGTAATATATTTACGTGGTGTTTCCACAAACAAAACTACTATAAATATAGATTGTTTGAGACTTTGGGATATTTTCGTAAAGTGGGAGGGGGGGCTGTATTCTCCGGCTTTTCTTCCTTTCCGTCCAAAGGACGGTTGTTCTAGTATGGTTGAACTTGTCAACGATATTCTTTTTGATTTACCCTCAGTTGTTGGTCTTCCACGAACGAGAAATACGGAAGCCATGATTAGCAATCTTCTTTATAAAATGAGAAAACTTTCTAAAATCATTGGTTAAGATAAAAACACACGCCAAAATCTCAATCAATGATCTATACTAACATAGTTACTTAAATTTACAAATGCATGTGACACTTATGGTTGTCCATGAATCCATGAATAAAAATTGCACCAAAACCATAATGTTCCATTATATTAATAATGAACATAAAAAGTATGAACATCAAAGAGTGCCTCGCCTTACATTGTCAAATAATTTTTTGTTGGTTGTCAGATGATGTTATTAGGTAATTTAAGATAGCCGACTTCAATTTAAGATAGCGGACTTTAAAAATTTAAGATTTGACTCTATAGTATATAGTACATTACAGGAAGACGACATGGAGCATGTTATTAATTATTGCTTGACTGTTCAGGTTTTCTCTCTATGTCTATGACTAATTTCAGATTACCTTGTTGGTCGTGTAATTGGTGGAACGTTAGGGAAAGGATTTTTTACATTCGCTTTTGACACTGTTTTCGTTTGGTCTGGCGAAATATTTCCTACAGTTGTAAGGTAATTTAATCTTGTATTTTACATGAAACAATTCAATGGTTAGCTTAAATAAATCCAAAACAATTTCATGTATACAGCTGAGAATTTGGTACAAAAACATAAGAATACAACCATGCCACTCAACTAAGATGGAATGTCAAAATATTGTTGGTCATTTTCAGGGGACATATCAAACATCATACAGTAAAATACGCGTCACAATTTTACTTACTAGTAGATTTTGTGACGCAATTTCTTTATTATGAAAGTAAAAAACCTAAAACAAAGATAAGCAGCATATACCTTCAATACTTTACGTCGCACAGGCATGCAATACGGCAATGAACCATTTTGAATAAGCGCATGAGTTAAAGGGTAATGTTGTCGCATGCCAAAGTCGCCACAAACTAAACGCAACTGGAGCATTGCGGCGTCAGCAGTGATTTGCACACACCAAAGTACGAATATATCAGACACGACCAATCACAGCGTGCGGTAAACGTACCTTAAGACAGGCCAGATCGATATTTCCGCAGCGATTTTGTCCTACAATTTCATGCTGGACTAGACATTATAGCTCATGAGCGAGCTGCCCCGAATTTTCAGTACTTCCGGGCCCCAACGTTCTCCGAGCATCAGTTCGTCTTCGATTACCCGAAAGTAGCATAGGGAAGAGGGGTTCTAGCATAGATATCTTATATTCACTAGATAGCGCATCTCTTTTAGTAAAATTGAAGCCAAGAATATTCCAGCGGTTACCCCCATTTCAATAGATGGCGGCCATGTTTGTCGTTCCCACTTGCTAATACACGCTTAAAAACAACATTAACTTTCATCATTTGAATATTTTAAAAACGAATTTGGAATAGGGTTAACTTAATGTTTAAGTTCCCTGTTTAAGAAATAGGAAACATACGAATCTTTTAATTTCATGGGAACGACCTAAGACTGCAATCACGGCTTCAATTTTTGAATTGCAGAATAATTAGATGCACTATCTAGTGTATATAAGATATCTATGGGTTCTAGGCGGTGCACTTAGCACAGCCCACTTAGCACCGCCCATAGGCGGTGCACTTAGCACCGCCCATGACGTCTTCATTTCTTAAGTATTTTAATTTATTTACATGTTTTGAAACTTTGTCATGAAACTGCAGGGCCAGGGGAAACTGAAATACGGCAAAAGACATTTGCTTTATAGGCAGAAGCTAGTTTTTAGTGCAGAGTTTCTTTGAAACTGTGCACTATTGTGATGAGTGGGAAAATTCACATCAGTCAGTCAGTCAGTTATAGTGTTAACTTTCCGGGGGGGTGTATTATGTGTATACGATTTATGTTGGTAGTGATTTTATAACATTCGCTTCTCATGTTGTGTGAAGGATCTTTCCCCCGGAAAACCCATTTTTTCTTTATGAACGCAAATGCGCATGCGCTATCAAGCCGTAGATCACGATGGCGAGACGATGCTAAGAACGAGCGCTGGAGCGACACAGTTTTGTTTTCAAATTATAAACATTTTAGATGTGAATATTGAGTAAATCTTTGAGAATCTACGCAATATATAGATTGATGTTATGCATTACGGGCATTCAATTAAATACCGATAGTATTTTGACGGTATATTCGTTATACAAAGCTAGGAGGTAGCGAGACAAGTGTTGTTTTGAAATGTATAAACATTTCAGATGTGTATTAATTTATGGAGGAAAATCTTTGAGACTCTACGCAATGTATAAATCGATGTTATGCATTACGGGCATCAATTAAGTACCGATATTAGTTTGGGGGTATATTCATTATACAGCCGAGCTAGGAAGCAGCGAGACAGTGTTGTCTTCAAAATGTATAAACATTTCAGACGTGTATTATGAGTATTATATTGAGAAAATCTTTGAGATCGCGTAGCCTACTATGCAATATATATTGATGTTATGCATTACGCATTTACGGGCATTCAACTGCCGATATTAGTTTGACGGTATATTCATTGTGCAGAGCTAGCAGTGTTGTTTTCAACCGTATAAACATTTCAGACGTGTATTATATATTATTGAGAAAATCTTTGAGATACTACGCAATATATAAATTGATGTTATGCATTCAGATTTACGGGAATTCAACTGCCGATATCAGTTTGACGTTATATTCATTGTGCAGAGCTAGCAGTGTTGTTTTCAACCGTATAAACATTTCAGACGTGTATTATATATTATTGAGAAAATCTTTGAGATACTACGCACTATATAAATTGACGTTATGACTTATGCATTCAGATTTACGGGAATTCAACTGCCGATATCAGTTTGTGTTGTTTTCAAATGTATAAACATTTCGGACATAAATATTGAGAAAAACTTGGTTTACTGTACACACCTATATAGCACAATGGTGCAAACTCGTGTTCAGTGCAACGTGAACTCTATCTTACGATCGAGAATTTATCTGTATCAAAACTTGTCAGAACTGCTATAAACACTGCTATAACTGTGAAACCATTGAAATATTGATTGCATGCGAAAAGCTGAAAATGAATCATGCATGAACACAACGTGACCTTCAAAATAACTCAAAGGTCAGTGAGCTTGTTATTGTGACATGTCACAATTAGGTTAAAATGCGAAAGCGGAGGCGAAACGGAGCGGATCCACGGAACGGGTATGGAGTTAAATTGCGAAACGGATTTGGATAAAATCGGATTTGGATAAAATCGCCTCTTTTTTACGTTTCCGTGTTTTAGATTTATGTTTTTTGTAATGGAATGCAACGTTGTAGTGCTTATTATTCAGAGCATATCTTATACAGCTATTTCAAGTAAAGTTGTGACTGGGACAACAGTCAAATTTACAATATGGGCGCTAAAATGATAATGGCATTGGCAATAATCATAGATTTAAATAAGTTTAGCATATCAGTAGCCTTGTGGGGATATTGCGGTGTCTTTCAATTTCAAACTTTACAAAATAACAGAAATTACGCCTTGTCACTATAATATTATATGAGGAAATAAATTATATTACGTAACTCTCGTTATTCTTCATCCGTAAAGTATTATATTAGTTATATTAGTATATTTAAACCAGATCTTAGCCTTTTTACTGTTGTAACAGTTCCGCCAGGTACTGCAACATGTGATTAAGGCTATAAACCACGCTTGCAAAGCTATTCAATTTATAAGCATGTCTTATAGCGTCCGTCTTTGAAACTCTGCACTATCCTTGGATCCCTAGTTGAGTTATAGGTTTAAGTATAGGTTATAGTTTACGTAAACGACCATAAATAAACACACATAAAAACACGATACGTTGTATTAATTGCCCCAGATAAACAACATTATTAATCACTACATTTATACAATTTCATGTAAATACCAGCTTGCATACCAAAGCATATTATTTACTGAGTTAAGGATGGCGTAAAAATTTCGCAGATTTATGAATGAAATCGAAAACACGAATCAAGTACGGTATGGAATTTTAATACTGAAATGTTTATAACACTTATCAAAGTCCCAAACATAGCCAAGACAACGACTAAATTTACTTTTAAAAACCATCTGGTTCATCTTCGACAAAATTCGTGAACTATACATGCCTTTCACACTTTGTTTCACGGTTGACAGCCACTAATTCATGAAACGGCAGGCTTGTTTCCAGTTAAAAGCAAAAAATATATTGCAAAACAGCGAAATGCATCTTTGCAAAATGAAAATATTTTTTGTGCGAGCAGCGAGTTAGACGTTATGCGCGTGCGCGAGCAAAGGTCGCTGGCAGCGACCTTTGCTCGCGCACGCGCATAACGTCTAAGACCGTCCACACGTAATGGAGGACAACTTTGCACTTCGCTATGTTTTCAAACACCCAGGTGTAAATAGCCGAGCAGAATTAGTACCCTCGCACGGCGCTTCGCGCCGTCGGCTCGGGGATTATTATCCTAAGATATTGATATCCTAAGATACTGAACGATATCCTAAGATATTGATATCCTAAGATATTGATATCCTAAGATACTGTATGATATCCTAAGATATTGTATGCTATCCTAAGATACTGTGTGATATTTTAAGATACTGTATAATGATATCTTAAGATATTGTATGATATCCTAAGATACTGTATGATATCTTAAGATATTGTATGATATCCTAAGATATTGATATCCTGAGATATTGATATCCTAAGATACTGAACGATATTCTAAGATATCGATATGCTAAGATACTGTAGGAGATACTAATTAAGATACTGCATGATTCGACCCCTAAGATATTGACATCCTAAGATATTGTATAATATTTGGAGCCAATCTTGACAGGCTTGGAACCAGTCAAAATAGCTCGTAGCCGAGTTCTCAATAGCTCGAAGCCACTCTAGATAGTTGTTAGTCCTGACTTAATAGTCATGACTATAGTCTTAATAGTCATGACTATAGTCTTAATAGTCGTAACTATAGTCTTAATAGTCATGACTATAGTCTTAATAGTCATGACTACAGTCTTAATAGTCATGACTATAGTCTTAATAGTCATGACTATAGTCTTAATATAGTCATGACTATAGTCTTAACAGTCATGACTATAGTCTTAATAGTCATGACTATAGTCTTAATATAGTCATGACTATAGTCTTAACAGTCATGACTATAGTCTTAATAGTAATGACTATAGTCTTAATAGTCATGACTACAGTCTTAATATAGTCATGACTATAGTCTTAACAGTCATGACTATAGTCTTAATAGTAATGACTATAGTCTTAATAGTCATGACTATAGTCTTAATATAGTCATGACTATAGTTTTAACAGTCATGACTATAGTCTTAATAGTAATGTCTATAGTCTTAATGGTCATGGCTATAGTCTTAATGGTCATGCTGCTTGAGGGACGATATAATGTTCCTTGTTCGCTGCGCTCACTCATGCCATAATATCGTCCCTAGCCATGACCATTAAGACTATAGTCACGACTATTAAGACTATAGTCATGACTATTAAGATTATAGTCATGACTATTAAGACTTTAGTATAAACCTACTAGTAGGCTATCACAAATCGTGGCTTCTGATTGGCTACGCTACTAGTAGGCTATTAGTGATAGCCTACTAATAGAAATTCAAAATGGCGGAAAATTCGCGTTTTGCACTTTTGCCGAAGTGTCTGATGATTTTTTGGACGACTTGTTGAACAATTCTGTACTAAAAAAAAACACGAAAAAGCAACAAAAAAATGGAATGGCAATTTTTAAGGGTAAGAAAATAGACAAAATAACATACACTCAATTAAATTTTAAAATTAAAACTGAATTTTGTAAAACATTTTACGCGAACAAAAACTGAAATATTTGTTTACCTTTAATGGTTTTATAATGTTTTTTTGTGTATTTTTGTATTGTGTTTGCAGCCTAGTTGTAAATTAATGTTAAAGTTCATACTAAAACAATTGGACAACTCGGCCTCGTTGTCTATGAGCAAATAGTCAACTCGGCTTCGCCTCGTTGACTATTCGCTTATAGACAACTCGGCCTCGTTGTCTAATTGTTAAATAGTCATGACTATTTAGACTATAGTCATGGCTGTTTAGACTATAGTCATGACTATATTAAGACTATAGTCATGACTATAAGACTATAGTCATGACTATTTAGACTGTAGTCAGGACTATGAACTATCTAGAGTGGCTCCGAGCTATTGAGAACTCGGCTACGAGCTATTTAGACTGGATCCAAGCCTGTCGAGATTGGCTCCAAGTATTATACAATATCTTAGGATGTCAATATCTTAAGGGTCGAATCATGCAGTATCTTAATTAATATGTCCTACAGTATCTTAACATATCAATATCTTGGGACATCGTTCAGTATCTTAGTATATCAATATCTCAGGATATCAATATCTTAGGATATCATACAGTATCTTAGGATATCATTAGTATTTTTTCCTGTCTCAAGCTCGCTGGGTAAAAAAGTGTATATATCCAAACAAGGTGGGCGGGTTAATCACTTTTTAATGACTCTGTAACAAGCAAACATCGACCATAACAGCGGCGTTGCATGACAACGATTTTAACTTGGGCTTAGCAACTGCTTAGTTCTGTTTAAAATGTTTCATATACATGTAGTTTCATTTTTAATGGAGAACCGAAGGAGCCCAATAGAACCCCTCCCTTTACTACTCCCGAACGCTCAGTCCAACTTCGTACACAGGGGCTTACCTATGGGAAAGACCCTGGTTGGGGCTGGTCACGTGACTTTACAAAAATATGTTGGCTAACGCGGGAGGGCAGAGTATCAAATTGCATGCTTCCACAAAGAACGTTACACTTCCATTACAAGGAGTGGTTCAAAGTGATCTAAATTATATTTCGTCATTTTTGCGATGCATGGTTCGGAATCGAAATGCTTGCTAATTTTTGTGTTTTTCTGTTAGCTGTTTAATTACAAATTAAAACATTTTAAAATTTTGTCAATAGTCAAGTCAACAATTAAAGCTAGAAAATCGCATGCTTTGAAAATGTTTCGTATCAAATCGGTCCGACTAGATGTTAGTTGACACAAAAAATATGCCATAAAATTTGTTAATTGTTGTTTGCAAATGTTGATAGGCTTTGAACCGATTTACTTGAAATTGTACGCGTCTTGTTTTGTTGAAGGAATGAAGGTTGATAATTTTCAAAAGTAACTATATCACAAGTTTACAAGCCAATGGCAAGTGTCAATGTGTAAACAGATAGAATGCCTACTTAACAGGTAATAAAACTAAAACAGTAAAACTGTCTGTGATTTATCTTTGAATGTAGTTCATCGTTTTTATTGAAAATTTTAGGAGAGTGGGTCTGCATGCCTCGGGCAATACACATGCATGCGCTGTCCTTTTTGGGGCAGATAATAGCCTCCATGCATGAATCAAGTAAAAGAATAACAGCAATATTATACAGTATAAAAATATAATTTTTCTGATATACACAAATGGCATTTTATTACGAATATATATTATTATTATTGAAAATACAATACTTTGTAAATATTACCTAGAATATTTAAAATACGTATGTTTACATTAAGTACTATTTTGTAAAAGGAACTAGCTAACTAGGATTATTAAAATGGGTGGTCATCCCAAATTTTAACACATGCAGGTATAAAACTATTTTTAAAACGCATAGTCCTACTCTTAAAAAGTTCAAAACTACATTGGTGACCCAAGGAGTACGTAATTCGTCTCTGTTCCGGGATTAATTCTCTCAACTTGCTGGTGGGCTGCAAAGCAGAGTTGTAAAATCGTTTGCAGATTTCATTTCTTCTTTCACTTAATAATTCGAGATTTAGTTCTGCGATAGCTTCCTTGTATGATTTTCCTGGCACGAGGATTTTTAAGGCACGTTTTTGAATATGTTCAATATCCTCGTTGTTTGCTAAGGTCAAGGAGAAACTCCAAACTGAGCACGCATACTCCAACATTGGCCGAATGAAAGAGCAGAACACTTTACGTAGGTGATTCACCGAAAAACCACTTCGTTTCAAGATGCGTAAGATATAGAGACGTTTACTGGCTTTTCCACACATATATTCCACATGGGTGTTCCAGGATAAGTCGGATGTCAAATAGATTCCAAGTAGTTTAAAAACATTTCACAAGTTCCAGAGGCTGACCGCCTATGACAATTGGGTCAAGGGTAGGAGGTGTTTTCAGAAAAGAGACTCGGAACTCTTTAGTTTTTTTTACGTTGACCAACATGCGGTTATAAGAAGACCATGTCACAATCGAGTCCACTTGGTCTTGAACAATAGAAGTATTAAAAGGGTGTGAGAGAATTTCGTAAGATGAGCTATCGTCTACATACAGGGCCGTAGCAACCGGGGGGGGCTGGGGGGCTGCAGCCCCCCAATAATTTGCTAATAATCATTCTTTTTTCAAAATCATGCAAACTTTATCATTTAATCTGTGACAAACTGCAAAGAATGAAGATATTACTCATACTCCAGATCGTTCCTCGCGTAGAAATTTTAGCTGAATTTCTGTCGCGCATTTTCAAGAAAATCCCACACAATCTGCACATTTTTGATGAACTAATGATTTATTTTGTCTTTTGCGTGTTGGGTCTTGCGAAAGAAAACTCTGAAAATGCCATTTCAGACCATCTAGAGACTCCAGATTTTCGAAATTTTCTCAAATGTTCTACCTTCATTTCCGCGCAACTGCCATTTACGACGAAAATTCCCGCCGCGCATTTATAATACTACAGTCTGGCCCATACTTTCCTGTAAATTTCGACATACTAAAACGCTGTTTTCTGACTATCAGAATTCTGTTAAATCTTCCCCCAAAGTCCAGGAAATGGCATTTTAGAGACTCTAAATTTAAAAATTTCCTCGGGCCTTTGGCCCTCGCTTTCAGCCCCCCCAATCGAAAAGAGCTTCCTACGGCCCTGACATACTTATACATTGGATAATTGAGGCATAAATCATTTATCATGACAAGGAAAAATAGTGGACCAAGTTTTGTACCCTGTGGTACTCCAGCGTGTGTAGCTCTCCAACTGGATTTAGTATTTCCCAACTTTACTCGCTGCTTTCGGTTTCGGAGAAAATTTTCGCACCAGTTTAAAAGAATAGCAGGTATCTTCATCTGCTCGAGCTTGAGCAAAAGAATGTTGTGGTCTATTCTATCGGAGGCTTTAGAAAAGTCTATCATACATGAACGGACAATTGTTTTTTGAGAGTCAGTGGCTTCGAGCCAGCGGTGAAGTAAATGGACCAACGCATGCGTGGTTGATACTCCTTTCAAATTTCCGAACTGTCGAGATTCGACAATTTCCGAAACACAAGGATATAGCCAGTCAAACACATGACCTTCCAAGATCTTACTCAAAACTGCAGTCAGCGAAATCGGCCGAAGGTCGTTGTCAATTGATACGGGTTTTGGGACTTTCAGTACAGGAATGACGTCCGCACTTTTCCATAGCGTTGGTACCTGCCCTGCGATATGGAGGCATTGAAAATGCTTGTGATTGGAGGGGCAAATATGGTGGCAAAATCTTTTAAGATCCAGTTTGGTATTGAATCCGGGCCAATTGATTTTTTCGTTTGGATTTGGGCCAACGCTCTTTCAACTGAGTCGACACTGATGCTATAATCGTAAAGGGTCGAGTCAACAAATGAGGTGTTGGGAGAAAGTCGGATTTGTTCCCTTGGTAGTGATGGGATAGCTTCTGTGGATTTGCAAAAAGAAACATTTATTATCTCAGCCAGATCCTTGCCGTAACGGAACTCACCATCATGAAATACACTGGTTAGAAGATTAGGCTTTGATAGGCCGGCTAATTGTTTTACTTGGCGCCACCATTTACTCGGGTTGTTGACTTTTTAGTCTTCATAGAAGCGGCGACGCAAAATTTTTTTCCGTAGACAGTCGGACTCCTCATTGATAGTCGGACGCATCATTGACCCGCGCCCTTAAACAAAATATTTAGCGGATACTCTTCTTATTAGATGCGCCTGTCCAGCGTGTCTTGCGCACGTAATTGGTTAATTCAAAATTGATTGTATTGCTTGGTTGAGATGTCAAAATCTAATTGTGGCTTCATATCTTGTGCGGTGATGACATCTGACATATTTTATTAAGTTATATTCGCCATTCCCACTTGCTTTTCTTTACTTTTGTAACTCTTTTTTTGTAACTCTTTTCGGAGCGATTGCAGAATACTCGTCAACTTTTAAGCTATGCCTTTCAAACATCATGCATGGATGGATACGATGTATTAATAGATCTATATTTATTCTCAATAGATTAATAATAAATAGATGGAAAGATTAAAATCTCATGGTGATAAAGGTCAGTGGCGGCGCCACGGGGAGGACTGGGGAGGACACGTCCCCCCCAGTTCTCTTCAAGGTCAATTTTCTAATTTGTCCAAATCCAGTGAGAAAAGTGGGGGGGGGGTACGTTTTTGACATCAGTCTAGTTATTTAGATCTAACTTAATAAATCCAGTCTTTATTGTGTGAATAAAAACCGGTATTAAAAGATCATCGCTTTACTTTTGACAAAAGACCGTTTCATATATGCGGTATTAATTTACCATTAGCATATTGCAGGAACTGATTACGACCGCCGAAGGAAACCCTGCACCATAATGGGTTAATATATTATCAAAATTAAGTGCAATGTGTGATGCGGAAGTTTGGTCCTGCTGCTGAGATGTGAGGGAGATATGTAAATTAATGCACCGTTCGCACAACATATGGTCATTAGCTTCTTGGAACGCATGACTACACAACTGGAAGAGAAAAATGTTTGAAGGAAGAGATTCATCAAGTGAAGTTGTGTGTGAGGGAGGCAAATAAAACCTTCGTTTTCTAATCTGGGCGGTTAGACCTATCTTAGATTTTTCAATATCGGTGAGAAAGTTTACATTCCAAAAGAAATGGTACGAAGAGTACATATGACTGGAATATTCAATGAACCAACTGGAAGATTGCATA